CAAAATTAAACAAAAGGGGTGATGTTTACAGTCTGCTCAACCAGCACGAAAAGGCGTTGAACGATTTTAGCAAATCGTTAGAAATCGAACCAGACAATGCATGGACTTTGAGCAGGAGAGGCGTCGTCTATTACAAGCTTAAACGGTACAAAAACTCGCTGAACGATCTCAATAAAGCTTTGGAGGTTGAACCAACTAACGCGTGGGCACTGACTATAAGAGGACTGGCCAGTTATAAGCTCAAAATGTATGACGATGCATTGAATGATTTTAACAAGACGCTATTGATTAAACCGGACGATGCTTTTACGTTGAGCAGACGAGGAGTAGTTTATCATCAGTTGGGACAGTATGACAGTGCGCTGGACGATCTCAACAAGTCGTTAGAGATTGAACCGAATAACATGTGGGTCTTGAGTAAAAGAGGAAATCTTTACAGTTCGATTAATCAACATCACGATGCATTAAATGATCTGAATGTATCATTGAAGATTGAACCGAATAATGCATGGGCGTTGAGCCGAAGAGGGGACGTCTACAACAAGCTCAAGGATTATAACAACGCGTTGCGTGATCTCAATAAATCGTTAAAGATCAAACCACACAATGCGTGGGCGTTGAGCAAAAGAGGAGATGTATACTACAAGCTTAACAAATATAACAATGCCTTGACCGATTTAAATGGTTCATTGGAGGCCGAACCGAATAACGTTTTTGCGTTAAAAAAGAGAGGAGATGTATATCGCATGCTCAATCAATACAATAATGCTTTACAGGATTTTAACAAGTCGTTGGAGCTTGAACCACATGATTCATGGACATTAAGCAGACGAGGAGAGGTCTACTGCCTGCTTGGCTTGTATGAAAGCGCCATAACCGATCTCGATCAGTCATTATCAATCGAGCCAAACAATGCAAAAGCATTAAGTAGAAAGGGTGAAGTCTATTACCGACTCAATGTGTATGATTACGCATTAAAAAATCTAAACCATGCGTTAAAGATCAGACCGAACGACGCAGGGACGTTGAGTAGAATGGGAGCTGTTTATTACAAACTCAGAAAGTTTGACAATGCTTTGAACTATTTCAACAAGTCGTTGGAGATTAAACCAAACAATGCATGGGCGTTGGGCAAAAGAGGTGCGGTTTATTATGAGCTCAAAAAGTACAGCAACGCGTTAGACGATCTCGTGAAATCATTGGAAATCAAGCCGAATGATACATGGGTTTTGGGTGTAAGAGGAGACGTTTATTACATCACTGGCAGGTATGATGACGCGGTGAATGATTTTAACAAGTCATTGGAGATTGAACCAAATGATGCGTGGGCGTTAAGTGGAAGAGGAGCCGTCTGTTACAAATTAAAGGATTACAATAGTGCGTTGCGTGATCTCAATAGGTTGCTAGAAATTGACCCGGTTAACGTGTGGGCGTTGAGTGTAAGGATGGATATTTATAAAGAGCTCAATCGGTATGATGCCGCATCACAAGATCTCAACAGGCTGTTAGAGATTGATCCGAAAAATGTACAAGTATCTAAAAGAAAGACAGAAATGTACCGTATATTTAGTCAGTATTAGTGGCAGGGTATAGGCTAAATTGTGTAGCAATGTTTGGTATATAGCAATATTTTTAATTTAAAGCCAAGTGTATGTAATATTAAACTCGGGTTTTCGTTTTAAGACGCAAATATGTCTGCGAGATTATATAGATATGGTTTCTACCGTTTCTGGGGTCTATACACGTTTTCAGATAAGGATAAGTGAACGTATTGTGAGAACCATAAGCTGATTTGTATGTAACATCCGTACACAGATGACGTTAATATGTACAACCATTATTACATTAATATCGCAAGTAATAGTACGTTAGTTTTATTATTGCCAACAAGCGCGTTATTAGTAATCGCAGTAGAACTATCAGATAATGATTGATTTGGTATAAAATTAACTACGTATAGAAAAAGCTGTCCAACGCAACATAATCGACGCGACGCTATACAATGCCAAATAAACTGGGCAGAAATATTCAAAAAACAATGTGTCAAAATATCACAGACACAATCGCCCAACGTTCTAATATACTGTACATCGAAGCTGTTGAACAAAAAGAAGAAGTAACGTGTTTGGTTGGTTGCATATAGATATAATCGCGTACAGACAAATAGTGATTACAACAATTGAATGGGTGATACGTCCAAGTATGAAGAGCATTTCACTGATCGATGTGCAAGGAGAATGGTTCATTTACGATCACGTTTTCCTATAGTGGACGGTTACACAAGTAATACGCCGCGCCATCTACACACAATTTATTAATATTACGCTTTGCATGACATTATTGATAAACGAGAGCCTTGTTTAATGAAATGGCTTAAAGATAAGGTATTCAGATCATGTATTTCATCATACAACTAAACACAATATTAACCTTTGCCTTTCAATTCACAGCGTAATCAACGCGATAAACTCGCCATGAGCAAAAGGTCTACGCAATTTATATGGACGCCAACGCTTCCACAACTTTGAATCTGTCATGTCCAATCACTTTTGATTTCCCTGATACTGTGCTCATTGTCGGTAAATTGTTAATTTATTCTCCTCCTATGGTTTCTTCCCCGTTAATTGAATATAGCTTATCGCTCGACTGGAAACCTTTTACGGCATAAGCTGGGATAATGAAGGTACTCAACTATGCGCCTTCAGCTTGGAAGGAAAGCAATGGATTCTCAAAATTTCAGATTCTGGCATATCGATTAATAAAAACCAGTACGGAACGCTTGAGGAAAAATATAGAAGATCAGTTAAAGACGCGTTCCGGAAGGTGGTGGCCGACGAAAAAGATTCCGAAAATGAAAGTGAAAATGATGAAGGGACGATGAAATTGGTTCTCCGCTACTCTTTAATATAGATGGGCTTGACGGTAACTGGGATGGGATAACGAATGAAGATGACACAGATGTTGCTGAAGAGGAGGAGGAGGAGGAGAGGAGGAAGATGTTTTAGACTTGGTACAAGTATAAGCAAAACCAGCAAATCTAAAAGCATTGAGAACAATGGAACAGATTGCGAAGAGACTATGGCCGAAGACAGTATTCCAAAAAGTCATGAAAAGACGGTGCAACAAATAATGAGAGCATGGACGTGGATGAAGCAAAGACGTATACATTGGATTTGTTAATGCAACCGCAAATATTTGGAATAGACGCATCGGCGAATGGAATATTTGTGGCTTTTTTTTCACGTACGTTTATTCATTTATTCTATTATGACTTGTCTCGTAAATTACAAGGCGTACTTGTTCTGATATATGTTGGCTCTGCCTTTAGAATGATATCTGGTTGTGACATGGACTATTTGACAACCAATCAAACAAATCATACCTGTGTTTTGTCCTGACCGAAAACGACGAACTTGATGTTGGCGTAATAGAGAAACGTACTCTAACGATCTTGCATTGTCAATCGAGTTGAGTGAGAATTCATACGACTGTTTCATCTACTTTGTATTTCACGTGTTATTTTATTGATGTTCTTTTACCCCTAGTTCTGGAGGCCTCACCCCGCTTGTCGTCTCTGGGATTTACTCGAATATGCCGATTTCGAACAGCATTTTGAAGAATCCGATAACATTTTCGAACATCTTGTGAAAACTTGTGAACCGGCAATACTGAAAGGTCGCTGATAGACTATTGGGAGCAAACATCTGGATTCGATATTCTGTACGTCCGCAAGGTGACGCGAGTGTTTACGCGCATAAACAGCAAAAGATGACTCTT